ATCTTGAAGTTCGTCCCCTCCTGCTCCTGGAGACCCTCCAATCCGAGAGGATAGCCAAACGGATATGTTCTTTAACCAGAATTATCTGTTGTTGCAGGGGCATTTTTTCGTCCCTGAAAACTCTGGCATTTCGAGCTTTCCAGATTATGCCTGCAAACAAATGCTACATATCCAGTTCCTGTCATAATGTTCGACTTTTGAGATGTGATCGCGTGTAGGATCCAATCATCCGTCCAGTCCCATTCTGAACCCACTATATTTTGCCAATGACCTCTCCACCATCTCCAAAGCTCCTCAGATAAAGGGCAGTGGAGCCACAAATGAGTACTGGTTTCCCACCCCCAATCACACCTCTGGCAATTGATTTCCAAAGCCATCCCTTTTCCCTCCAGCCAAACCGCCGACGCTGTAGCCTGCATTGCCTGAAGCCACATTATTCCGGCTTGCCTTTGTGAGGGTAGTTTCTTCAAGATCTTCCAGATAGCATTGAAGTCCGGCTGCTGACCCTGGGAACTTATCTGTCAGACCACTTTCGACATTCACCGTTTCTACAAGAAAAGGGAAGAAAAACAAAAAAAAAGAAGAAGAAAAACACAAAAAAAAAGAAGAAGAAGACACGGGATCTTGAGGCATAGATGTCGAAATCAGCACATCCTTCAACACCTCGTCTCCGTGATGTCGAAACTGGACCCGCTGCAGGCGGGCCGTTCGACACCCATGTCGAAACCACCTTTCTGACAATTGTCGAAAACTCGAGTTTCGACATTGGTGTGGCGAGGCCCTAAGTCTGTCAAGTCAAATCGTCTCTCTCTAAAAATAGAATAGTATGCACAGGCATCATCCGATGGCACGACTACGTCCTTCGGGACATCTGTTAAAAGGATTGGTACGATACAGAGAAGGAAGAGTAGCATGGCCCCTGCGCAAGGATGACACGCATAATAAGGGGGGGGGAACAAAGAAAATGGCCCCACTATCGGATCTGCCCTCGTCTTGCAGCTTGCGATCATGAACCGTCAACCATCAACGTCAGAGGCTCCACGTTCTCCACACACACACACACACACACACACACACACAGAGAGAGAGAGAGAGAGAGAGAGAGAGAGAGAGAGAGAGAGAGAGAGAGAGAGCATTGACCGTCAGCATGGCGCCACGACGGAAGTGCTTTCGTCGTGTAGCACCCAGTGATTCTATGCACTGACTTCTTTTTCGTTTTTTTTTTCCTTTCCCTTTCTGTGTCCAATCACATCTTCCCCCGAATAGAACCCCCGGTCATTACCGCTGCATCATCAGTCTGCATGTGGACTGAAAGGTGATCCAAATACGGCTATAATGACCGTACGTTCAAGTCGGGGGAAGACCGGTGGCATTCGCGCTCCCCGATGGAAGACTCACTTCATCGTCCAGGTTTGACCATCTATCTGCTTCTTTCTTCTTTTAAGAAAAGAAGAAAGAACAACAGCAAGAGACCTATTTGTTATTCGATTCGAAGAACATACAGTAGAGCGAACGACCCACTGTGACAGAACGCTTCCTCCTTCAAGTGCATTCGTCACTGAGCTTGCTGCTCCTTTGGGCATTTAGCTTTGACGTACCTGGCCGCAATTTCGGCGTTTCTTGAGCCGAAATCGCCAGGTCTTACAGTTGGGATCCCGGTAAGTAAGCCCTGACGATTTCGGTTCAAAAACGCCGAAATTGCGTCCAGGAACGTCAAAGTTAAATGCCCAAAAGGTCATTAGCATGATGATGATGACAATGGTTATGGTGGAGTGATGGCCCTTTGACTGAATCCATCATCCATCTGGACGGGGGGCTCCGGCGTGCTGATGCTATGTTATTGATAATCTCTAGGATGTCACGATGTCACGATGTCACTATACCTCAGCTACAAACAGAACCGGGGCAAGGTCCCACTTGCACGGACTAAGAGATTCTGGCCGTTGATCTTTGCTATCGACGGTCAATATCGCTTAATTCGTGTAAGTGGGACCTAGCCCCCGGAAGAACAGTCACAAGGTGATCCTTAGACCCACACACAGCATCGGCCATGCCGGCGGAAGCCGCGGAACTATAGCATGGGATGGCTTCCGTAGCGACGCGTTCCGACGTGTACCAACTTGTGTGCTCTTTGCACATATATAGAGCACTGTTCCCGCCTTTTCCCACTGCGTGTGACCATTCACAATCCTCGACACGCTTGATGTATAGCACGCTCAAATTCTCGCTTATATTATTAGAGAGCACTGTTCCCGCCTTTTCCACTGACTCTTCATTATCCTCGACACACTGACATATAGCACGCCCAATTTCCCGCCTATTTGACAGCACTGTTCCCGCCTTTTCCCGCTGTGTGTGACCATTCGCTATCCTCGACACCCTGACATATGGCACGCCCAATTTCCCGCCAATTAGGGAGCACTGTTTCCGCCTTTTCCCACTCTGTTCATCAGACATTGCATGAATCACAGAACCTGCACTCAAAAAAAGTAATGCTTTAAAAAGAGCATGGTTCATCAGATGAAATACACTCACAGAATAATTGGAGATACCACAAGCGAATAGCATATAACCTAATTGGCTACAAGTAGAATAAGCAATAACCCTTCACTATCCTCGACACTCTGGCATTAGCACGCCCACTTTTCCTCCTACCACGCCCAATTTCCCGCCTACCGTGCCCAATTTCTCTCCAACCATGCCTAATTTCCCGCCTACCGCGCCCAATTTCCCGCCTACTGCGCTCAATTTCCCTCCTACCGCGCCCAATTTCCCTCCTACCACGCCCAATTTCCCGCCTACCGCGCACAATTCCCCGCCTACAGCGCCCAATTTCCCGCCAAGGAGGCTGATATGCCGAATGTATGTCATCCTTTCGTCAGCACCCACCTGCAACTTTCGTCCTTGCCTGCATGTAACCGACCTGTTGTCTATATGCATGTTTTCAGGGAATGGGTACCTATCATACCTCGCAATCACGCGGCTCCGGCTATTTGACACCGCAGTGACGCGGCTGGCTATTTGATGCCCCAGCGAGGGCCCTGTCTATTTGACGCGCATTGACGCCGCTGGCTATTTGTAGTTGCAATGACAGGGCTGTGGCTATCTGACGGCGCTGGCTATTTGAAGCTGCAATGACACGGCTGTGGCTACTTCACGCGCGCTGGCTATTTGGAGCTAAAATGACAGGGCTATGGCTATTTGACGCCGCCATAACGCGGCTGTGGCTATTTGACGCGGCCATCACGCGGCTGTGGCTATTTGATGCCACGACGACAAGGCTGAGGGCTCTAGCTGTTTGAAGCCCCAATTACTATATTACCCACCGTCTTCCCCCGAACACAAAGCACCCCCATTACGACGGTATCAGACCCAAAAGATAGCTTGTGAACATTGATGATCAGGATGCATTACGTTTGGGTGTGTGTGACGACGGTAGCCTGGATGCTCCTATGTTATAGCACCTCCATTCCGACGGTATCAAAGCGGAAAGTTAGCTTGTGTGCATTCATGATCAGCGTAGCGTTGTTTAAAATAATTAAAAAACAAACAAACAAACAAACAAAAAGATCAGGGTGTGTTATGTTCGAGTGACTGACGACGAAATGCTAGATGCTCTACGCTATTTTTTCCCCTTTCTTTGTCAGAGAACAACACGCACGTCTTACGATAGTCAAGTCAGATACAGGAATGCAAAGCTGCGCCAATGGTATTGAGCTCAAGATGAACAAGGGATTCCTTGCTCCCCCCCCTCGCCAGCTGAAGCTTCTCAGCTGCTTCTGCCTTGTCGTCATCCGCATAATCCCTTTTTTTTTTTTTTATGGTTCTTCGTATCATCCATTTTTCACAAGCCCTGCCCTATTTGGCGGGAAAAGCACGCTCTAAACCCTAAACCCTAAACCCTAAACCCTTTTGTCCCGCTCTCCCTGTCCTGTTGGGTCTTCTCCTTTTTTTTTTTTTTTTTTYTTTTTTTTTTTGTGAATATGGTCCGATGGACCACGGATCAGATATTACACTGATCAGAAGAGATATTATACTTGATCTTACTTAGCCAAAAGGCCGAGAAAGGTTTGTCTCCTCCTTTCCAGTGTGTTTAGGTACAAATGTATTTCTAGGAAGCGCACGTGTGTGGACGGACTTGCCGCTCAACTACACAACGTGGCCAACCTTGCACCCTTTAAAAAGGTAACAAAGTTAAAAATTTTAAAAAAGGGGCTCTCTCTCTCTCTCTCTCTCTCTCTCTCTCTCTCTCTCTCTCTCTCTCTCTCTCTCTCTCTCTCTCTCTCTCGTGCGCGTGCGCGCGCACAAAGGCGTTCTTACTTTGTAGCTCTATGATACAGTAATATATAAAAACAATACATGTGTATATATGCAGACACAGTACATATACATATACGCAGACAGACAGGACGACACGTAAAGAATTACATCTCTTCCTTAAAGCGGACAGATGTCACGTGTAGCGTGACGTCACGTGACGTCTCTCCTCACGCCCTTATCCATCTACCGCGGGGGAGGGAACAAGAGGACGTGAGTAGGAAGGGGAACTCGGGATAATAGATAAGCGCGACCACGTACAAAGCCATGCAGAGCCGGAAGTCACTGGATGAAGAAGACACATGGTGAACGAACAAGGACAGAGGGGCGTTGCGGAGAGAGAGAGAGAGAGAGAGAGAGAGAGAGAGAGAGCTGTCTCTTATACACATCTAGATGTGTATAAGAGACAGGTCCGTGTGTGTGTGTGTGTGTGTGTGTGTGTGAGAGAGAGAGAGAGAGAGAGAGAGAGAGAGAGAGAGAGAGAGAGAGAGAGAGAGAGAGAGAGAGAGAGAGAGTTGGGAGGCGGGGGAAGAGCGGGATGAAAAAGACGGCGGGAGGGGGGGGAAGAAGGGGAGGAGAAAGGGGATGGGGAAGATGTGCGGTCAGTGGGGGAAGCAGCGGAGGAGAAAAGGGGAAGGGGGGAAAGATGTGCAGTCACTGGGCAAACTGGAGAGGTGGCACACCGTTCCATCATGAGTCGAGAATGATGCATGTTGGTCAATGTTCGTGACAGCTTCGTGAAGGTCGCAACGTGCGCGCCTCTTCAACATTTTTCGGGGGTTTTTTTCCCCTTTGGTCCTGCCGTCTTCACCCGAATAGAACGCCCGGTGATTATCGCCGTATCTGGGCTGAAAGTTGTGCCAAATACGGCTATAATGACCGGGGCGTTCTATTCGGGTGAAGACGGTAGTTAGTCTTTTCGCAGTACCACGTCCCAATCGTTGACTCTCACTTGGTTGGTCAAAAAATCCCCGACGCCTGGTAGTTTCTTTGTCCCGCCCCATCCCGTCGGTGTAATGTAATGAATGCCAATTGCATCCATGCTCGCACATGCCCCCTCCGCCGTGAATTCGGATGTCCGATCACTCCCCTTGGCGGACAAGAAGTTGTCCAGGCCGTCATGAGGTTGTACTACTTACTGCCACGCACTGTGCACTTTCCGTTCAGTACGCGATGGCCGAAGTACGGTGTGCTGGGATTGCCATTAAATAATAAAGTATGGGCACCACTTTCAATGCCGCGTGTTGTGTACGGAGAAGAGAGACGACAGTGTCATGTGGTACACCCATTGACGGTTGAAATACAGGCTCAAGTTCAAATCCTCATGGACATAGATGAATGGAATAAAATACAATTCTCAATTCGCAGCCCTTAAGGCGTATGTTTTCCCCCCCTGTGGTCGTTGATTCGGGCTCGTTTGTCGTTGATTCGGCCTCGTTTGGTCGTAGGAAGGTTCAAACAATGCAGGCAGTTGCAGGCACGACACTTTGGGGGGCGGTGGCAGTTTCTTTGAAAAATGCGGGACAGGTAGCTGCCCGTGGGACCGCGCGCTGGGTTTTGGTCCAAATGGTGGCAAAGCAGCGGTAGGGTGGAACTTTGGGGGGGGGTGGCAGTTTCTTTGAAAAATGCAGGACCGGTAGCTGCCCATGGGACCCGCGCTGGGTTTCGGTCGAAACGGTGGCAAAGCAGCGGCGGGGTGGAAAAGTGGACAGTCTGAATCGGAAAGGGCGCAGCCTTGGCCGCAGGTTGAAACTACACACCTGCATTGCATTTGCAAGTGCAAACAGATGTGTCTGAACGTGGACGTATTCAACGCCCCACACGTTCAGCACCCGATTGAGTGAGTCACATGTGCCCATTTAGATTGAGTGAGTCACATGTGCCCATTTAGATTGAGTGAGTCACATGTGCCCATTTTGCTCGTTGTCTGCGTGCCATCTCTCTCTCTCTCTCT